CGCAGAAATTTTTTTATATATCGTTCGGTTAATTTATCTAAAATCTCATTTAGGTACGAAAAAGGAAATAAATGTTAGGAGAAATAATCACCCTTTGCTAAATTATTAAACAGCGTTTGTTCCTATTTGAATTCTTGATGCAATTTGTATTTCTATAGTTATGGCCCCAAAATCAAGGGGAGTATATATTGGTAATTTAAAGATCATTTTTACCTTCTTTACCCACGGTTTTGATAAGCAAATGTATGCGGCCAGTAGAACTTTTTCTCAAACTAGTTAGACACAGTTTCTTATACAATGTTTTTAACAGTATTTCGATCAAGAGATCCACCATGGACTTCTGATAAACTATTGTTTCAATGTGATGTGTAGTTTGCTAAGAAAATATGGGAAAGCCGATCATTCAACAGGTCGATTTTACACCAGGAGAGGTGAAGTAAATGGAGGAATCAATAATTTTTTTACCACGTTTGTACTTGTTTTAAATAAAACTGTGGAATATTACTGCTGAAATCCACTTCATAGACTACCGACAGTCGAAATTAATCTCTAAATGGAACATAACTTGGCCCGTTCTGTTTAAGAGATTATTTTGGTTTTTAAGAATCCTACCGACCCTCAAGGCTTAGGAGTGAGTACACTACTTCTTGTAAGATTGCGACTTAGTCTAAGGGGCACAAATGGACTGAAGGAATGATGGCTCGTCTTGATCAAAATTAAACGAATGCGATTGTGAAGTACTCAGGTTATAGCGATTTTTAACTAATGTAGTCGTGCTTCGTTCTTAACTGTTGGTACGTAAATGGGACGACTTTCCATTTTTTAGTAACTTTAAGAATCGTCAGCACTTTACTCATCGATACTTGTTTAGGCCACCTTGTGAAAGCTCTCTATTTTTTAGTTATTATTCCAATCTCCCAATGGCTATGCCTAAGTAAAATTCGTCTCAACACCATAGTAACGCAATCCAGTTCCTGAGATGAGTTGGGATGGTATTACGAGAGTGAGTTAAATAGCTTAGTGGTTTAGTAATATCGATTATGCAGTTTGCATATAGCACTACTTGTAGGTTATCTAATGGCTATATTCTAATTTAAAAATTGTATTCAAAATAACAGCTAGTCGGAGGTTTAGGGACGAAACACGGCCAATAAATGTGAATGTGTCTGTAAATTGCCATCATTTTCATTCTTTCGTAAAATGGAAATTGAAAATATTTGACAAAGTGTTGTAAATGTCGTGGTATTGTCTACTTTTATATAAATTCATATTACTGCTAAGACTTCCATTTTAAGAAGAAATTGAAGTCGTATCATCCTCATTTTTTACTGCTAGTTGCTGAATAAATTATAACATCGAAGTTCTACTCTAGTTTACCCTAAAACTGGTGTTAAGGCTCTAACCAAGCTTTACCGCCACAAAATTTCTCCTGTTTAATTTGGGAAATTTGGTCGAACCCAAGTGGTTCAATCAGTTGATGAATACGAGGTTGGCTCTCGATATGTTCCAATTATAAATTTCACTTATGCCAACTAAGAAACTCGTAATAAAAACTGGTTAAAACCTGGTCTTTTAATCAGTTAAATCATCATGCATTAATTACTTATCTGCTTTAGTAGGCGAAATGACTGGAGGGTGATCGAGGCAATTCTCAGGAAGCACCTTATTTCAGCATCTTGGGTCAGGGTATGCTTTTGCTTGATTATTTGATCAAGTTAGGAAGAATCAAGCTTTTTATATCAGCGTTAAATGCTACGTATTGACGGTTTCGACTTCATTAATGAAAGTGGTCATCGCATTGTTTATGTTGTTTAAATGTACCTTTTAGTTGAGAAGCGTTCACTGAACTCTAATCTCGTGACGGAGGGGTCGCGATTGGTCCTCGAGGCAGAGAAGAATTCAGCACCCAGACTCCCCTAAACTTGTACCGATACCCGTTAACTCTGCCGGATAAACATGCTCCTTGCCGAATCAATCTGTTCGTTCGAAGGATATGAAGGCCAGAGAGGAAGCGCTAAACGAGGCGAGGCGCCACAACCATCTCCTCGGAGGGAAAGGTACTATTCCTCTTTCAGTAATCAAATAATGGAATGTGATTTAAAAGGGTCGATCTTCCACTTATTTTCAAACCCGTGTAGTACACAAATCAAGGATCTGCAATACAGCTGTTGAAAAATAGCAACACGTTGAAATAAAAAGCAGCACTTGATCTTAATCAGTCTGCTCCACCATTTGAGCAATTGTTTTATGAAATTACGTGAGTAAAGGACGCTTTTGCAGTTTTATTAAAATCTAAGAGTTATTAGTTTGATTGCTAAACAAAAGAATTGAAAAGAGTTTTGGGTTTTACTTCTGTTTACATATTTCATTCCTCGGATGCATACTAAATGTATGCATGCTAAATGTGCAGGAGCAAAAATCATTTTTCCGCAATGCATTCCTCATTCAGTGTAAATGAATAAACATTTGGGAAGTAAAGCGTAATACTCTTGTGAATTTTATATTTAAATTGGTGTGTGCAATCAGAGAAAGATTTTTGTTGAGTGTCAGAGATCAAAAACCGTTTGCCCATTGGTCCGGCTGACTTTTTATGGCAACTATCATAATACTGTTGATCAAAATTTTACGAACACTATGTAATCCATACTAAAAAGTTGGCTAGACCCATTAAATTACTCAAAACGCGGATTTGTATCTGCTCGATTGACTTAAATAACATCTGTTCGAAGCTCAAAGCGCTCTGACGACTAGCTTGGGTGAAATTTTGCTGTTTACCCACATTTGTATTATAAAATCAGCCGAATATAAAGGCAGTTGTTTAATAAAATGATGGATTTGATAAAAACGAGAAACGAAAACCGCATACGTGAGATCGGGGTGATTTGATCTCTTTCCAAGGTAGGTAAGTTATGAGGAGAGCGGCACAACATTAGCTAGTAGTTTTGCGCCCATGCTGGTATTATCCTCGAAAATTAGCTGATTCCACTTGCTGGCTTGCATTAGGCAATAAAAATGAAATGGCCGGAGTTACAGTTGCGTAATAGTATCAAGTGGATAGCCTGAAAAAAAGCCAGGAAAATCATCTGTCATTGCCTCCACCGTGTTTATGGAATTTTTAAAAAAGAATAGTCGAATGTCGAATGAATAAAGCCATTTGCCAAATCACATTATTAGAATATAATGATTTACCCTACAGGCATTTTAAAATGAATATGCAGTTACTATGTCGTCCGAAATTAAGCTTCAAACATTACTTTAAGTCCACCTAAGGGACAATTTTGACTTTAGAATCTAACCGGAAGTTTTTTTGAAATATGGAAGGTGTTAGACATTGGTGACACAACTACGACTACAAGTGGTTATCAGTTCCTAATGTTTGGTGATAACCTTTACCCCAAATATCACTTTTGCTTGAGTAGGTGCCAGTGCCTGATTTAATGCGAGTCACGTGGTGGCTAAAGGACGGGATGGTAAGAAAAGAGAACAGGAGGAAAGGGGACAAACTGACCGAAAAGGAGAATGAGCAAGCTTGGGGGAAGATTGAGCGTTGCGTAGATGAGTGCGGCGACAGTTTGAGACCCGATGAAGTAATAGGCGACGCGCACTACACCTGGATCTGCCATGACTTGGAAGATGCCACCCAGCAGGATGCAGTTTGACATCCAGCAGGCGAAGAGAAGAAAACAACCAAGGAAGATAGGCAGCCAACCCGGTAGACACTCATTTTTGCCCGATGGGCGGACGATCGGCTCGTGTATATGCCCAACGCACCAGGGCAATGCCACCAGCGACAGTAGAAGTAGTAAGGCCACGAGTGGGTGCGTCCAATACAGCCTCGACTGAAGGAACATTCGTGGTGAAAATCATCAGCTGACGCTGAAGTGTCCGAGTTTCGCGTGTGTATATGCACGCGAATGCACACGTGCACGTCATATTCACCCGGTGATTGGCTGGAGACGATGAGACCACCTGATTGCTGCGTCTGTGTGGCCCACGCCCTCCGCCGTCAGCCTTGTCAAAAAGGACCGTAGTCGCATATATTATTTTGTAATTTTGTTTTAATTTGGGTTTTGTCCTGCTTTGAAGTGTTTGGAGTTGAGCGGTATCACTTATTAAGACTACACGGCATTATAAATGCAGCATTAAAATAATTTTTTGTCTGTAAATATCATCAAGCCCCATTTACTCATTCATTTCAACCATTTCACAAAATCTGTTTTGGGGGGAAGAAGCACTGCTGTTAATTTACCAGAACCAAATTATGGTTTTTCTTTATGTTCTGAAACACTGCATTTGAAACTGATCCTCTTTAAGTTATGAGTATGAAAATTAAACAAAGACGTACTCTCATCAAAAACCTAAATATACAAACCCAAAATTCTATCTTTTTATTTTACAGGCAGAGGAAGCAATAAATAATGGTGTGACTAGAATCCCCGAGACTCTCAAGGGAACTCATATCTTGTAATACCTCAAAAAGTCTTTAACGTTGCTATGTTTCTTCCGTAAGTTATAATCAACATTGGGAAATCCCTCGATAAAGGCTTTTGACACGAAAGACTCTAATTTAACTACTTTTTGATGCTACATTCTTTTTCTACTGCAAGTACATATTTCTTGCGCTTCCTCAGGTCTTGAGAGACCCATCTTTACTCTCTTATAGCAGATTTAAAACTGGCAGAATAAGGCTTTAAATTTTTGGCTTAAAAGGCAAATCCCACTTTAGGTCTTTGGCATCATCAGTCATCTCGACTACGTTTCTTCCTACACAAATGAATCACCAAGTTAGTAATAAATTAGCTTCTTCTTGACAAATGCTTCAAATTCATTCGAAATGCATTAAACAGTTGCTTCTTCTGTTCAACAAGTCTTTCGTAAGCTCAGATCACGTATCTTAAGAATGTCCAGCTTCTTTTGCCCTGGTATCTGACAACATCTAGGTTATGACTGAGTTAAGCGGTGATCCAGAACCTTTCTGACGAAGGCAAACTGAAACAGTGAATCCAAACCATCGAATTGCAAACCATGAATAATACTTCCAACTAAAAAACCTTAATTCAATTTCCATATTAATTGATTTAAACAACTCCAACTTTTCTACTGCAAACTGACCTTCACGGCAGCGTTACCCCAATAGCCATTGCGTCTGTTCAGCGATCAATTGGTCCCGGTGGGTAGACATCTTCACGGACTGATAAATAACTGGTTCTTGAAGTTGACTGAAATACATTGGACCACTTATTTAATTACAGGGGTTCTCAGACAATATTTGAAATATTCGTCCAAAACGGCACAGGATGTCCAGTGAGTGCTTTTACACTTCAATCGTGATCTGGTGCTTGTTGCTCCGAATGCCGTTCCAAGTTGTTTGGAGTAGCATAGGCATTACAAAGCAGCGCGAGTAACTTTCCCGGTGAGACTTACTCTAGCAGCAATTACCTTATCACATAAGAGCAATTAGAAAATAAACTACTTCCAGGAATCTCCACCGATGTGCCAATGTTACAAGTGATGGGAGTACATTTGCAAACAAGTATAATTGAACGACATCGTAAAGCATGTTTACAGAGTAGGCTTCCTTGAATAAAATAAAAGTAGCTAATTCGAGCAAAAAGTTTCATTTTTTCTAGCCTTGACCCATTGCTCGAGGAAATCGTTGTTCCATCACGTCTCTTTGCTGAAAAAAAAATGCAGCGGCTAAGTCGAGTTAAACAAATACGTTGTAATGTGTGTCTTCCGATAAGCATGGGTTATTTGATGCAGCAATTTATAAAGAATATCAACGTATGTTTCCGCCGCATAAAAAGTAACAGATCTTGAAGATAGGATTTCTGGTAAATTATATGCATAATAAAATAAAAAGGATCGAAGGTCTGGAACGATAAGTAAGAAAAACATCGAAGACATTTAAACACGTTTTATATTTGCAATTTTAAATAGCTTTGGAATCTATTCGATGGACGCGGATTGAATCAACAGCACTAGTGAAAATACAGAACCTCGGTTTGGAATAGCACAAAAGCTACATCAAATGGATCTATGACATTCTGGACTGCTAATAGAAGAAACACTTTTCACAGGCGTTCTGCCTGTCCTGGAATGTAAAAAATTGTCTAGCCGTGCCTCTTCAAAACCCTTTACTTGGAACCAATTTTAATGCTTAGTAATATTGACAAATGATTTCCCGATTGTCTTTGAAAAGTAGGCTGTACCTGATAGAGCGTGGCTTGATTACTAAAATTGATCCACTTTGAACTAAGCCTATCACATTCGACCATAATGTAGATTCGGAGTGTAATAATAGTTGTTAATTTATCACGCTACAAAATCCCCACAATCTACGAGATTTGTCCTATGTGTCTGAGTGTTATGAATCTTTTCCTTTTAAAGCAAATACTCTCCCCCAGTGCCCGACGGTCCAAAGGGGATTCCTGCTTGAGGAGTCGGGACAGAGAGGGAAGAAAAGAGAAAAGATACCTACGAGGTGGTAGTGCCAATCGGGTGCAGCCTGAAGATAGTGCAAAGCCTCTGACGGTGCGGAGCAGAGAGCGAGGGAGAAGCCGCGCCAGAGCTCACAGGTAAAGAGAGGCGCCAGCGGATGCAGCATCACAATGAGGTCGGCAAGTGCTTTCAAGTAAGTCCGACTTGACATGCACCTCTCACCCACCCGTGAGTGCTTCTAGGGAGACAACAAGACCTCTTTTGAGTTTTTGTTTTGATATGCTTACATAAACAGTTTTGACCATTAAACAGAAGAGCGATTAACCTTGGTCAAATAATCGGTACGTAAGTGAACGCTATGAAGGGAGAAGAGAGGAACTGATGAATGAAAACCATGAGGGGTGCGACTCGGTAATGTTACCAAAAAGTAAGGCAAACAAAAGATACATGATTCTGTCATCGGGAAAACTATATGAAGTGTGACGTTAAAAATCTCCTAAATCTAGTACAGATGTGAAGTATAGTTTTGCATTGTTGAGCAAATATCAAGCTCTCCTTCATATAAACTAAAAATCCGTTTTAAGTCAATTAATTTAGTTTATTCTTAGATAAAATAACAAGGTCCAGTTACTTCCCAGTCCAATTTACAAATCATGGAACTCGCTTAGCACCAGAGTAAATACGCGTACTCAAAACGCCATCTGATCACGAGTTGAAATATCACAACCGAAATATCCTTTATTGAGGAAGGTTATAATCTGCATGTCTACAGGGTGTCAAATTTCATAGCTCTTCAGTAAATTTGCACCTAAACAAGAATTGGGACTGAGAGCGTATTATGATACCCTAACAGTGCGATTTTTGAGGTTGCAGTAGATGTTGGACAAAAAGGGCGCATCAAAGAGGCGCGTACGAAAATTGCGGAAAACTAAGCCGCTCCGTTTTAAGGGTTGAAGTGCTGACTGAAGCGTTTCTAACTTAGCCAGAAGGAAAGTGTGAGTCAGTGAAAGTGGCAGATGTGGCAAAGCTCGAGGAAGTTATTATTGCTGGTCAGCAAAAAACTTAATTTTGTACTCCAACTTTTCCGTTTCCATTATTAAAATATGGACAACAATTAAATGAAAACACAAAATTACCCAGAATGCCAAACGTGATTTACTAATTATTACAGTTGAATAAGTGGGAACGCATAAACAAAGGCCATTAATAGATTGCCATTGAGTCGACCAACTTCGGCAATTGCAAGACAATAGTAAGTGTTGATTAAAAGCGTACTTGAGGATGAACTTGGGAGCGATCCGCAATATGAGAATAAAAGTGCGAGAAAATACGAAGCATAGAAGGAATGAAAGACATTGACCAAAATTGCGAACACCAAGAAATAAACAAGTCAGTGCCTATAATCAATCAACTCTCTCCACTAGCCTACGTTCTAGCAGAGGCCAAGATATTGATACAAAAAGCTCAAAAGAAATGCAAGCGTGACTAATGGGCTCTAGCGGTTCGATCAAGCGAAATGCCTTATACACCGTCTTCGTCAGTTTACTAGGCGGAGGCGTGATCATACTTCCCTAAAACACTTCTTTAAACAGTTCCCATTTCGACAGTCAATGACCCAGAAGGGATCTCAAAAGCCGTCACTCAAACTATGTATGGTGGGAAGTCGCTATATATTTTGCGGTTGTTTTTGGCATTGTGAATTAGTGCTACCGCTTGATTTGAAATATCACGAAACAGCAGACGTAGGAAAAACTTACGAGAAGGATACTTGTCAACTTTTGAAGGTTCGCAATGACGGCGCTCAAAACAAACGATTCACCATAGTGATGATGAACCTAAGAAGAAAAAGTATGATTATAATGAAAAGGATTCAAAGAAAAAGAGCTTAACAGTTTCTTTGCGACCCCACCCCCTCCATCTCGGGAGCTCGAAGTTAAGATCCTCACTTTATGAAAACTGTTAACATTCACAAGTGGCTTGTATTAGGCGATTATGCTCTTGCAAAATAACAGCACATAAAGATATTCACGCAGCTAGTTTTCGTAAGCTCTATGGATAGCAAAAATAAGGCTGTTTGTAGTGGTAGTATTTTGCCAGCGGATTAGTCCGAAATCAAACCTAAAAGCAGATTAAGTAGGGATGTAAGATGACTTTAAAGTAGAGAACACTCAAGCAGGCCTCAGTGGTAGGATAGAAATACCTGTTTAACAATATGTGCGTAGGTTTGCAGAAAATCCTTATCAGCGACGAGATAATCGGTTCGGTCGGCAGAAGGCCAGAGGATGGAGGGATCGTTGGAGAACTCAATGATTTGGCCGATCAAATTCCAAAGCCGAGATTGCCAATTTTTTACTCCTCGAAGTACTGAAATCGGGAGCGCATTATTTCTCTGCTAAACACTCGAGATTCCAAAAGTAATTTTCTTCTATTTCTTCCAAAATGTGGTACACTGCAAATTTTTGATGAGAATGCAAAATTTTTGGCACTAACATTTACCAAAATCTGGTTTAATCTGATTTTATTCTGGAAATTAGAACGTAACTTAGGCCTTTGAAGAATTTAAATTGTCCTTCCTCTAACAATTTAATTCAACACGAGACAAAGCAATGAGGTTCGAGACGTATCTGAGACATTGTGATGACACGCCCTAGATGCGCAACGCATGAGTTCGCTTTCATTACGCTCCCCAATCAATATGACTAAATGCGTAGTTGGAAGAAAGACACATGTTTGACAAGACTAAGAGGAAGAAAGAGCATTCGGTTGCCCACCACCAGAAAACAGGAAGCTGTCTGAACAAAAGACAAACTGAATGGAGTCTTCGTGTGTACAAATTATGCTAATGCACGTTGTCGTTTCCAGCCATGTCGATAGGGTGTTTTTTAATGCAAAGTACCTCTTAGCGGTAAAAAAAATTAGTGAATGTCAGAGAAATTCCGATGGATCTTAGAGGAAAGTGCGCCACTTGGCACCGGGCACAAGTGGATGAGGATGACATAATTTCGGGGAAAAGACAAAAGAATGTAATATTAGTGTTTGGTATGGAACAGTGCACTGTGAGGAGCGTAAATCATTTGGAAGAATAAATCGTCGTTAAAACAGTTAAAAGTGTGACATCCATTCTTGCTTCTGTAATAGTGCACCATTGCTCGTGAGATGCCCACTAGTTACTTAATCAACTAAAAATACTACATTTTGAATGCCTGTTGGTTAAAAAAAAGATAATAATGGATTGTTGTTAAAGTCTAAGCCACTTAACCAGATTTCATGTAGCCTATATCCTCCCTTTTCTAGCAGTCATAGATTTTGGAAAATCCAAGAATGATAAGCAACCAAGTTAAGCGAATTTCTAAAATTCATTAAAAAAGCTTCGAATATAATGCTGTAATGTCAGAAGGGAAGCTAAAATTTAACTTTATGCAAAATGCCCGTAATACTACGAATAAGCAGCATTTGCATAGCCAAGGAAACATTGCAGTGCATGTGACTTGAAGCTCCTTAAAGTAGTGTCAATAAAATTCGGTTGTGGAATTCAAATGTCACATCAATCTGTCGAGGCAGTGCCTGTTGTTAGCATTTATTTAACCTAACATAATAATTTACATGTAAAATCTAGGCGAACTCACTTTCGTTATTGAATAAATTAAAAGTGGGTTCAAAGGGCAGAAGCCCCTCCACTTGATAAATTTATAAAAAACATTTACGCAATTATGCATCTTCAAAAGCCAAACAAATAGTTGGACAAGTGAAATGCTTAGTTTCAAGGATCGCTTAGTAGTGCTCAGAACAAAGAGACCTTTTTAATAATGTTAAGAAGCGAAGCACAATAGCTAGAAGGGAAGGAAGAAAGGAGGGATAAAAAGACATACTCTCGCCTTCGTTCCACTGTCTGGCGGCGTGCGGTCCCACGCTGGCCAGCATAGTTAGTCGCGTGAGCTCGACGCCGTAGCGAGCAAACACCTCGGAGGGGTCCACGCCGTTCAACTTTGACTTGCTCATCTTCTCCCACGACTCTACTACCGCC